GGGGGTGGACCGGCCGGCGGAAGGCGCCCAGGCCCGGGTGGGAGCTGCGGGGCCAAGCGGACTCCCCTGGTGGGAAGCCCGCCGCGCTCTCCCCGGCAGGAGGGCGGGGCCGGCGGGTCCAGCTGAGGTCTCGGGGTAGAGCACTAACCCTCGGCGTCCGGCCACGCCCCCGCGGCAGCCCTGGCCTCCCTGACTCTGAGCAGTGGGTAAACCTCTCAGCCCGGGGAGCAGGTGCACTGGGACCCTTCCATCGGGAGGGCTAGAGAAGTTCTCAGTTATGCCTTGAGGGTGGCCCTCTGTGGGCCAGGTGAGTACTGTTTCGGTGAAGGGCCTGGATTCACACGACGTGAAGAACGTGCCTTGGCTTTTAAAAGCCCGAGCCCCCTTCCCCTGTGTGGGTAATTCTGTTCAGCAGAACTGGGATAAGAATACTTCGAAGCTATTAGTGAACCCTCAGTGATTTGAAAGAAAGTCAGCTTAATAGGGAGGCAGGGTAGATTTTGGAGTGTATCAAAACTCAGGGAAGAGTTGCATCTCTTCCCTCATCTCACTGTCCCCACTGCATCTCTGCCTGGCAGCAATCCAAGTCCTGGGCACTGTCAAATGGTTCAACGTCCGGAATGGTTACGGCTTCATCAACAGGTATCCAAAGGCCCGGGGGAGGGGGAAAGGACGGGTGTCTCCCCACCTGACCCGAGGGACTGGACGGCTTCCCACTCTCATCTCTACCCTGCCAAGGCCTGTGGTTGCACTGTCCAGCTGACGCTGGTTGAAAGTCTTTAACGACGGCGCAAACGTGTGCTTAGTGGCAAGATGAAGCGGCCTTCACCTCTTCAAGGGCAGCGCAGGATTAATGGTCCAGGAACTTGACAAACCTGGCTCTGACCTCCCACCTTCAGTTTCTCAGTCTTGCTTTCTGGAATAGCTTCATTGTTTTTAGTTCTGCTGTGCCTTTGGGGCAGACTGTGTGGGGTTCTCTGTACCGCAGGGCACTGAGCTGGAATCCTCACTGATTTCCTGTTAAGGGCAGCACTCACTGCACCCTTGACTCATCTCCCTTAAGAAGCCAGGGCTCATTTGAATCTCCCACCTGATGAGACTGAGGCTGGCCTGGGGGGTGGAGGGAGACAGCTAGCCCAGCCAGAGACTTGCCCTCCCCTCCCAGTTTGGGAGAGGCTGTAGAGATGAATTCTGAGCGGAGCCAGGTCTCTCCCACAGGGGCCTTCCCCAGGCTGGGCACCTTGCCCAGCCAATCCCTCCTGGGAGGCCTGGTTGCCTCTTAGCAGGCTGACCTTTGTGCAGATCCAAGTGCATTAAAGCTGGAACATTGTTCCGAGGAAGGCGGCTTCCTGCGAGGAGTGCCTCTTCTCTTCCCTGTCGGATTGGGGTTCTGGGATAAACCAGAGTAATAGGCAAGGTAGCAGTAGACAATGGGGATTTTCTTCTCTCATCCTTGATCCCTTCGCGCGTCAAGAGGGAGGCTGACCCTGGGTCCATCTCCAAGCTGACAATGAATGTAAGGTTTTGTGGCTGTTTGGAGCAAGTTCCTAACTTACTGTCCCCCTCTCAAAGTTGTCCTGGCCCACTGTCCCTGCTTTGTTTCTCCTTAAGCAAGAGAAGGAAGAAGACAGGGGAATTTTCCAGTCCCATAGGGTTAGCAGAGGAGAAGGTGTTGGCCAGGGACAGCTGTGCCCAGCACCAGCAGGTTCTAAGGTGCCCTGGGGTAGAAAGTGGAACACTTGGCAGGTAAAGAGCTGTCCCACCTCCTTCAAGGTGCCTTTGCCATCTGTTTCCGCCCTTTCTCATGAAGGCCAGGCTTTTCGCTGAGTCCTTAAGTGTACTTTATACCAGCTTCGGGGACCCTATCTACCCCCAGGTAACGAATGCTGGAGAGGATGGGCCCACCAGTCTTAGCCAGGGAGGCCTCAGCAAAGCTGGGTGCCTTACCAAAGACACCCTCTTAACGACCCATCCTGTTCTGCAGGAATGACACCAAGGAAGATGTCTTTGTACACCAGGTAAGAGCTAGGATGTCTTCCTAAGGGGAGGAACCGGCCTCTCTTTGAAGGCCTTTGCCGTTACCCTTGGCCACACACTGTACGTTTCTCTGGCTGTTACATCACAACAGCCAGCCCATGCAGAAACAGCTGCCTCAGGAGCTGGCATCACCTACCATTAGCCCCACTTGTGTTGAATTACCAACTTGCTCTGTCAGAATTGTGCATGTTGCCCTCTGGGTATGGCATGCTCACCACCTACTAGGGCCTGTTAACACCACAGGAAGGGAAGAGACTTTTCTGAGGGAAAGAACACAGGCTAGAGAAAGTTGGGTACAGTGGTTCTCAAAAGTGGTCCCTGCACCATCAGCAGCATCACCTGGCATCCACATTCTCAGGCCCTGCCCCAAGCTACCGAATCAATCAGACTTTGGGCCGGGCACTGATTCAACAAGCTCCCAGGTGATTCTGATGTGCTAGTTTGAGAACCACTGCTCTGGTGGAAAGAGCTCTCAGTGGGATTGAGGTAAGAAGCCCGGTGTGTTTTACCCACTTTTCAGCTTATGACCATCTCTACTTTTTCTTTTGAGTTCCTTTCTTGCTTCCCTTTTTGAAGTCCCTCAGGGGTGAGGGGGGTGGGAGTACATCCCAAGGACAGTGGTATCTTCACAGTGGATTCCCAAGCCCCTGGTTTTCGACGTTTCCCCTACTTTTTTTCGGTGGTGCTGGGGTTCAGACCTAGGGCCTTGTGCATATTAGGCAAGCACTCTACCACTGAGCTCTAACGCTGGCCCCTTCCCTACTGAACTTTCACCATCTTCATGCTCTGCCCTCCAGCCACAGACCCCAAGTGAAATGTTGAAAAAAATGGAATTGGGTGGTAGACAGAGCAGGGGTGCGAGAGATCCCGGTCCTGCTGCCCTCACCTTTCTCATGGCTTTTCCCCCAACCAGACAGCTATAAAAAGAAACAACCCCAGGAAATTTCTGCGCAGCGTTGGCGATGGGGAGACTGTGGAGTTTGATGTCGTGGAAGGAGAGAAGGTTTGGGGCCTGCTGTGCAGACCAGAGTTGACCAGGCTTGTGGGAGGGTGGCCTGGAGGTCAGCCCGGGCTGTGACCCTCATGGGGTCAGATCTCCCTGTGGCTGTGGGAATAGGGCTGTGTTCTCTTATCTGGAGGTCCTCAAGACTGTGTCCCTGTCACCAGTCAGTAGTGTCTGGATTTCTTCTCTGTAGAGCTCACCAAGCACATGAAGTCCCACCCCCATATTAGCCGCCTGGAAAGATGGATAGTGACCGACAGCCCTCTTCCTCTACCTCCTCCACAGTCTCGGAACTGTCGGGGGCTGTAGCACTTATTTCAAAGGGACAAACTGCTCCCCCTGGATGGATACAAAGTCATCCCATTGCCCACTCTGGGGAGTAGGGAAAAAAGTCATGGTTAAAGGAATCACAGGATCCGGGCGTGGTGGTGCACGCCTGTAATCCCAGCACTCAGGAGGCTGAGGCAGGAGGATCTTTGTGAGTTCAAGACCTGCCTGGGCTACAAAGTGAGCTTAAGGCCAGCCTGAACTGCATAGTGAGACCTTGTCTTAAAAAAACAAGACAAAAAATAAATTTAAAAAAGGAATCACAGGAAAGCTGGAGAAGGGAGTTGGGCTGGAAAAAGGGGGACACTCTAATGATTCCAGCCAATGTGGGGACATACATTTGTTGGGGAGAGTTCTCACTGTCCCTCTTCCCCCTCCCTCTCCAGGGTGCAGAAGCTGCCAACGTAACTGGGCCCGGAGGGGTGCCAGTGAAGGGTAGCCGCTATGCCCCCAATCGACGTAGGTTCCGCCGATTCATCCCCCGGCCTCGCCCAGCTGCCCCACCACCCATGGTGGCAGAGGCTCCCTCTGGTGGGACAGAACCGGGCAGTGAAGGAGAGCGAGCTGAGGACTCCGGGCAGCGGCCCAGACGACGGCGCCCACCACCTTTCTTCTATCGACGGCGGTTTGTGCGAGGTCCCCGGCCCCCCAACCAGCAGCAGCCCATAGAGGTGAGGGGAAGCTGCTTGGGAGCCAGCTGCCCAGGCTTTGGAAAGCGGGAACTGGCAAGGGGAGAGATCAGAGGGAGTAGAGCTGAGGGCCAGGAAGAACCTGGGCCTCTGGACAGCCGGGTCCCACAGCCCACCTAGGCCTTTGTACATTTCCAGGGCACTGATGGGGTAGACCCCAAAGAGACAGCCCCACTGGAGGGGGACCAACAGCAGGGAGATGACCGGGTGCCCCCACCCAGATTCCGGCCCAGGTACCGAAGGTAAGGCTCCCTTGCTGTAGCTCTGCCTTCCTCTTCACCATCTGCGGTGGCCCCCATGCCAGGGAAGAGTGCTAAGAACCTGGGGCTCGTGGTGAGAAGGGGCCCAGAGGGAGGCGGGATGAGTGGGCCTGGGAAGGCTGGGGAAGCCCTAGGAGGGAGGCCGTCCATCCTGGGCTCCCTGGGCTCTTCAGGGTCCCTATGTCCCCTAGGCCTTTCCGCCCCAGGCCACCCCAACAGCCTACCACAGAAGGTGGGGATGGTGAGACCAAGGCCAGCCAAGGCCCCACCGATGGTTCCCGGCCTGAGCCCCAGCGCCCAAGAAACCGCCCCTACTTCCAGCGGCGACGGCAGCAGCCTCCTGGCCCCCGGCAGCCCACAGCCCCAGAGGTGAGGATCTTGGGGTGTCTACAAAATTCTTTGGGGACCACAGCCAGGCGTGGTGGCGCATGCCTGTACTCCCACCACTTGGGAGGCTGAGGCAAGAGGATTGTTGCAAGTTCGAGGTCAGCCTGAGCTACAAAGTGAGCTCAAGGCCAGCCTGAGCTGCATAGCGAGACCCTGTCTCAGAAAGACAAGAAGAAAAAAAAACCTTTGGGGATGGGATGAAAGGAGAGGCTGCATCCACTTCCTCCTTTCTTATCCTTTTCTTTCCCCTTCCCCCACCTTTTTTTTTTTTTTTTTTTGGTCTTTTTGAGGCAGGGTCTCGCTATGCAGTTCAGGCTGACCTTGGGCTCACTTTGTAGCCTAGGCTGGTCTCAAACTCGCAACGATCCTCCTGCCTCAGCCTCCCAAGTGCTGGGATTACAGGCGTGCACCACCATGCCTGGCCCATCCCCTTCCTTTCTTACCTCGATGCTTTGTTCTTCCCTTCTACTGGCCCCACCCCTCTGTGCAGTCTGCTGGGCCCACCCCTGGCAGGCACCACACACAACCTGAAACCCCAGAAGCAGTCAGGCCATGTCCCCCACTACAGAACCCACCCCCTGCTCCGCTTGGAGCTGCAGTAACAGCTAATTTCGGGCATGAACTGTAGAAATTGGTTGAACAGGAAGAGGAGAGAACAAGTTGCAATTGGAAGCTCTAGAGCACAAAAGTCTCAATTGGCCCCCGCTCTTCTCTTTAGACCTCAGCCCCCATCAACAGTGGGGACCCGACCACCACCATACTGGAGTGATTCCAACTCAAAGGACACCCAGAGCTGCCATCTGGTGTGTGGCTGCTCCTCTCCAGGCGGGTGGCCAGGAAGGCGGGGGACTGGGTCCTGGTGATAAGCTATCATTTACGATGTGTCCATTTCTCTTGCTCTCACAGGTATCTGCCAGTTTTTCCAACTGACCTACCCAGCACCCTCCTCTGCCCCCTTTCCATAATTCATGTCATCAAAATACTGGCTTTCCCCCTTTTCTTTGAGACTCAGGAGGGCTAAAGCAAAAGCCTTTTGCTTTTGCTTTTTTCTTTTCCCTCTCCCCTACCAAGGGCTAAAGGAAAGGACCCGTCCTTATTGTTCAGAGGCGTGAACTCCCACCCTAAGTCAGGCTGAGAAGGAACCAGCCAGCTCTTATCTCCTGGTTGTTTTTCCCACTCCAGTTTATTTTTTGTTTCCTCTTGACCCCTACCTCTGAAGCCATTTAATGAACTGTCATGTGCCACCTGAGCCTCCAGTAAAAACAAAAACGGGCTTTCTTGTCTTGGTCTCTGCCTCTTTTATGTCTTAGAGAATTGGGGAATACTGGTAACGCAGTTCAGAACCACAGACCGAAGGTGGGGGCCGGGGTGGGCCGGGTCTTGCTCCTTGCTCCAGTTTGCCTAGCTGTGCAGCTTTGCCGCGACCCTTCCCCACTGAGGTACACTGTCCCTGACTGTTAAGTGGGGACGGCACGCCACCGCAGTGCCTGGCGCTTACTGCTAACTTACTGGGCATGTACTATTGTCAATGAACAGCAACAAATGGGGGATGAGCGATGGTGTTGAGACTAAATTCTGAGGCCTCAAGCAGAGGCAGGGCAGAGGGAGAGGGGTAGGCGCGGTGTGGTCCCTGACTCAGCCCATCTTCCAGGGCCCTCACAACAGGACACTGGTCTTCATACAGTGACTTTATAGATGAATCTATATATACACATTTAAAACAGCAGCCTTGTGGCTTCTGCGCCCTACCCCTTCTTCAAACATATACAAAAATACGCAAGGGCTCTTCCCCGCCAGTGTTTACAGGCAGCATTTCAATTCCCCTCTTGCCCTTAGTTGGTCAAAAGCCTGTGGTACCCTTCCAGCATGGGAGTAGAGGAAAGAGCTGGGGCCCCCACTTGGCAGGAGCAACTGAGATAAGGCCCCAAGTCTAGAGGCAGGCGCCTGCTGTCCCTTCTTGCCACATGTAAGTACACACTCTGTGTTCCCTCTCACCCCAGAAAGCTGAGTTGGCAGGGAGGGAGGAGAGGCTAGACTTTGGGAGGGTTCATCCTTTGCCCTGGAGGGGTCAAGACAGAACCCCCTTCACCCAGAGGCTGTGTGGCAAGAATTTGGCAAAAGTGCCAAATCACAGGAAGAGTTCGAGGTGGTGGGAAACTTGACTTTTCATGTCCTGCTCCCTGCCTCCATTTGTCCCACTAAGGAAGCAAGTCTAGAATCTCTACTCCTGCAGTCCCCCTTCCCTCGAGGGGATAAGACTATTCTGGAGCTGAGTCTAGGTGGGAACAGGAGGAAAGAGGGAGAGGAGAATGGCCCACCCCAGTGGCCACAGCCTAATCACGACACATAAATAATCCAAGAGAATCACACAGGGGAATGAGGGGGTGCTCGGACCACCCTTCCCTTCAGCTTCCCAATTCTCCCAGGCTGTCGGGGTTTCCTCCACCCTGGAATAATGGGGAAGAAAGGGTTAAAGTGCTGCAGAGGAGAGGAGGGGTCCTGGGTGGAGAAAGCTGGCTCCCACCCTGGCCTCACCCCTCAGTCGTTCTCATCTGGCCCTAAGTATTCGAGTTCCGTGCTGGGTTTCACCTCCTGCTCTAAAAGAGAGGGTGTCCGGCGGAAGGTGGCTGAGATCTGGTCAAACGTCCGGCCTCGGGTTTCAGGCACTTTTAAGAAGGTGAAGATGAAGAAGCCAAGCAGGAGAACCGCAAACAGAAGGAAGACGTAGGGCCCCATAGCATCCTGGGACAGGCGGAGAAAGAGGTGTTGGCAGAGTAGGGTGGAGAGGGACGGGCTGATGTCAGGAACTAAAGAGCCTCAGTGGGATCTGGGGATACTGTGGAAAGCAGTGGCTCCCTTGAAATGACCAGAAACAAGAATTTACACTGAAAAAAGGATTTGTTTTGAGCTGCCACTCTCCTTCAGTTTCTTCCCTCTTCACCATCCTAAGTTACTGCACTCAGATTCCCAGCCGTTTGCAGCATTCATATGAAATGTATTGTTTTATTTCTGGTCTAAGTTATACTGCTGGTTTCTTTCAAAGATACCTCTGTTGCCATTGAATCTATTTCCAACCCCTTCTTTCCTTTGACTGCAAAGAGATCCAGAGACCAGCTGTCTGGGGTGGGGGTGGGGTTCCTGACTGGAAAGTAGGTGGGCCCCTGTCTGGCCTCTACTGTGCGATCGGGGCAGGGGACCTACCGCAACATACTGGAAACCCATGCCGATGATGAAGTTGCATGTCCAGTTGGAGAAGCCAGCCACAGCCATGGCTGCCGGCCGAGGTCCCTGGCTGAAGAGCTCGGCCACGATGAACCAGGGGATGGGGCCAGGGCCAATTTCAAAGAAAGCCACAAAGCCGAAGATGGCCACAATGGAGACATAGCTCATGGCTGGAACCCGCTCCTAGGTACCAAGCAGGGAGGGTGGGGAATCCTTTTCAGGCCTTTCTGGATCTTTCAGGCACCCAGAGAACTGAAATCTACCCATCCCAGCAGCTTGTGGGGGAACTGCTACCCTAGAACAGGCCCTGGACAGTGCTGAGCACTGACATTCTGCTGGCTGCCCTGAACAGATCCAAGGCAGAGGTAACATTCCAATCTCTCAGGTTCATGATGGTCGGTGCCCTATTAGCTCTAAGACTGGGTGTTTAGGAATTATTGCTCCTGAGGCTTGACAGGGCCTTTCTCTCCTGGCTACCGGACTTGTGCTATAGCAGTCTCTGAAAGCCGGCCTCAGTGCAGCCTAGGCCCCTCAGGGGCAGAGATCATAGTTCTTTCTAACTCTAGAGCCAAACACCCATGTTCCCAGCATAGACCAGTCACAGGACTGAAGGTGTGTATGCTAAGGTGCGGCCCTGGCTGACTATGGAGCTTCTGGGGGCCATTCTCATGGATAGGACTACAGTGGTCTCCCAACTCCAGGCCTCACCAGCAGAAGTAGAGCCACAGTCATCAAGATGGCACAGGCACACATGCCTGCCAGGCCCAGCAGATGGAGTGTCCGGCGCCCGGCCCTCTCCACCAGGAACACCTGTGGGGAGAGTTGGGGCTTGGAAGGAGGCCTTCAGGATGAATGAAGTAGGAGGGGACAATCAAGAATAGGATTTTTAGGACACCCAGGGATATGAAGCCAGTTGCACAGGCCATTCTAGAGGTGAGCAGTTACCGAGACCAAGGTGAAGACAGTGTTGACCACACCAGCTCCGATTGTGGCATAGGCTGGCTGCTCCACCCCTGCCGACTCAAAGATGCTGGTTGAATAATAGAAGACCTAGAGATGAGGGAGAAGGAAAGGTGATAGCAAGGATGTCCTGATCCCCACTCCCACCACACCAAGCTGGACTGATCCTGAGTGTCACTGAAGGAGGCCTGCTCCTCTCTCCCCGCCCCTGGGCTGCTGCCTGCGCCATGCCCAGCCTGAAGCCTGCGCCATACGTACGGCATTGATGCCCGAGAGCTGCTGGCTCAGCTGCAGCACAATTGCAATGACCAGGGGCTGCCGGTGGGTGTGGCTGCCCAGGAGCTGGAGCAGGGACAGTGGCCGCTCACGCTCCAGCCTTCGCTTCTCATCCTTCAGCTCAGCCAACACATCGGACACATCGGCCCAGCCTGTCAGGCGCTTCAGACCTGGGGGTGGGGAGGGTCAGGCCTGAGGGGCCCTGAGAAGAGGCCAGGTGCTATCAAGATGGGGTAGAGGCTTGGGCCCAGGATAGATGCAGGGTGAGAGCTCACTCTTTCGGGCAGGCCCCTCCAGGTTCCGGATGATGTAGAGGTAGCGGGGGCTCTCGGGGCAAAAGGGTAGCAGGACCAGCTGCAGGATGGCAGGCAGCACTGTGATTCCCAAGAGCAGTGGCCATAGGGTGGCAGTGCCCAGCATGGTCTCCAAGCCCAGCACCTGTGAGAGGAAGTTGGGAAGGAGGACAGTTGACTTGGACCTCGTCACCCGGAAGGTCCTCCTCAGCCCCTGCCTAGCCCTCCAGGAGGCCAGGACCAGTCACCTGGGCTATCAGAATGCCAGTGACGATAGCCAGTTGGTTGAGTGTCCCCAAGGCTCCCCGAAGGTGAGTGGGGGCAATCTCTCCCACGTACATGGGCACCAGCCCAGATGTTAGCCCTGGGGAAGAGTGAAAGGAAAGGCTGAGATCAGTTGCCCAGTCCCACCCAGAAGCCCAGGCCTGGTGGACAGTGGGGCACAGGATAGAGCCATGGTGTCCATGGGTACCTGAGTAGGCGCCAATGAGGAACCGTCCAAGAATGAGGATCTCATAGGAGGCAGTGGCTTTGGCCAGGCCCATGAGGGTGCCCCCCAGCACTGCCAGGACATTGTTGGCCAACATAGCCCTTTTCCTGGTGGGTAGACAGAGTAAGGCTGTGTCAGAGCACCTATACTTCGGCTCCCGCTCCCCCACCCATGCCCTCTAGCCCCATACCTTCCTAACCACTGAGACAGGACGCCAATGAGGAAGGAGGAAATCATGCCGCCTACAGAGAAGATGGCCACGGACAGAGCCCAGAGGGTGGTGAGCGTGCCCGGTGGGATGGAACCAGGTCCCTCAGGCCCCTGCCTCCCCAGCCAGGTCTCATTGTAGCTCTGTTCAATCACCTGGGGTGGGGGACAGCAGAGGAGTGAGTTCCTTCAGACCCTTCCCTTCCCACCATCCTGGGGGTCCCCTGTCCTCCTTGCTGGGGCCTCCCTGCCCTGCCAGTGGCAGGCCCCTCACCTTCTGCGGGGCATTGATGACTCCAATGTTATAGCCAAACTGCAGGGAGCCAAGCACAGCCGAGAATACGGCAAGGACCAGGGTCCCAGTCATTTGCTGCTGAGGGGGTTCCCCATCCTGCATGGGCAAAAGCAGAGAGATGCACGTCACAAGAATCACGCTCTCTTCCCTTCCTCCAGGAGCTCCCGCCCAGTGAGAGCCTGAAGATGCTGGGTTCCATCCAACATGCTGGGTTAGAGAAACTGGGCCATATTAGGAATTGTACAAAGATCTCAATGTAAACACGACCACGAGGAACCCAACGGGAACCGGGGCACAGAGGAGAAACCGGATGTCTGGGTCCCAAAGACAGAGTAACGCTTGAGGACCTGCGTCTCACAATTCCTCTGTGACCTTGGGGCAGCCTTAGATTTGTGTGACCTTGGGCCAGTCACTTTCCCATTCTGAGCCTAAGTCTCCTGTTCTGTGAGATGGTGGGTGCAGTCTGCCTCCTCTGCTTGTCCGTGAGAGTGTTGTGAAAATCAAAGCAAATATTAACTGTATCCCACCAGTGCTTTTTATAAACTGACACGCGCATTATTATCATTGGCCACTGTTCCCCCTCCCCTCTGGGGGTTCTCCCAGCCAGCTCCAGGAGGCTCCCAACAGGCACAAGAAGTGTAATCCTAAAAAGGACACCCAGGTCATCACTCCGGGGGTGGCCTTCTACGTCTCCACGCTGGCCTCGTCTTCCCTTTTAAGCTCTGACAGAGGGTGGGGGTCTGCGCATCAGGGAGAGTCCTGCCCTGGGGAAGAGGGAGGGATGGTGGTGTGAGGGGTGGTGACAGTGGTGGCTGCTAGCTGGCGGCACAGACTGTCTCCCAGCAGAAACCTGAGCTGGAGGGGGGGGCGGACACTCCCCTCGGCCCTTCCACCCACCGTGGGGCCAAGAAAGTTCAGCGTCCTGGAGGACCTCCAGGAGTGGGGGTGGGGCCCACGGAGAGCCTCGGTCCTCGAAACACTGAACGAGCTGGGGCAGACGACAGCTTCTGGAGGGCCAGGCCCGCCTGGATCTCTCCCAATCGCATCAAGATAGGGTATTCCCGAGTCCGGGGCATAGAAAAGGTCGAACTTCGGATTCTGTAGAATCCAGCTAAGCCCTGGTCCCCGGAAAAGTCCCCCAGACCCACCATGCCTCTTGGCGGGACTGGAATCACAGTCACGGGTTAGCCCGAGTGGGTATAAATAGCTAACCCCTCACTTGCACACCCTGCGCCTGCGCAGGGCCCGCCCCCCAGCTGACCTCAAGCACGACCCCAGCCCAAGAAAACGGGGACCTGTGCCTCCGCCCCGCTCCCACACGCTGAATCCTACTTCTGAGCCGATTTGTTGGAAGCCCGACGGCATCTTGTGTTAGAAGAGCTGGAGACGCAGGAACTGCAATGATGACAGGCGACTGGTGGGGGTCCGTGGCCCGAGCCTGGCGGGCAGAAGCCGTAGCCACTACGGGGGTCCCGGAGCGATGTGCGGAGGGCGGGCGTGGCGGGACCCTCCCGGCCACAAGTCACGGAGCCGGAGAGCTGCGGGGCTCTCGGGGATCTGCCGGAGACGTGCTGGGGGAAGAGACGCGAGGAGCCCCCTCACTCCCGCCCGGCCAAGGGCCACGCCCTTCACAGCACCCATTGGCCAGGAGCCCGCACACCCCAGGAGGCCACGCCCTCCCCTGAGCCTGGGGTTTGGAGTTTGGCTGCAGTTTGTGGGGCGGGCAGGTTAAGCCACGCCCCCTCACCATGCTAGGCGAGACCCGCCCCTCGGATTCCCGCCAGCTTCAAGCCGCAGTTTAGGGAGCTCGGTCGTCCGAACAAAAGGTACCGCCCACCCACGTGCTAAGACTCCGCCCACCAGCCAAGATTCCCAGTCCCTGAAATTTCTAACGCCGCGAATCTAACGCCGCGGCTCCGATGGTGGGGACAGGCCAGGTATAGCTGCCGGGAAAAAGGGAAAAGCCAAAGGCGTGACACAGAGCGCGCGCGGAGGGTGGGTGAGGAACAATGCCCCGAAGTGACCCGGGCGGGCTATTTTTAGCACCCATGTTAGGCTCCGCCAAATGTCAGGTCCCGGGTGTCCTGTCCTGTCCCGGGCGGGGGAGGGCAGGGAGATGGAGCCTTAAAGGGTCCGCGACAGCCAGGCGTGGTGGTGCACACCTGTAATCCCAGCAGTCTGGGAGGCTGAAGCAGGAAGATCCCAAGTTTGAGCCCAGCCTGGGCAACTTAACAACTTAGCGAGGCCTTGTCTCAAAATAAAAAAATATAAGAACTGGAGATGTAGCTCAGTGCGAAGGCCTTGAGTTGCACACCCAATACTAGAAAAATAAAAGGTCTGAGATATGCTTCCAGCTCAAGGGTGGCCCTGGGGGCCAGGAAACGACATTCCTGGGGGATCTGGTTATCGTGTTCTGTGATTCTGTCTTTTCCATACATCTCTGCTCCGGGCACTGCCTATGTGGCTCTTGGTTCCTGGAGGTAGCCCATGGGATAGATGCCCATGCAGACCACACCAGCCGTCCTGAGGCCCCTGAGCCGTCATGCACGTGCCGGCTGCGTGGACAACAAACACGCTCTCCACAACCTGCTCCGGAGGATTTGGATGCCCAACTAAATCCCAGCGGGAGGACGCGACCTAGCGTCGGCGCGGTAAATGCGGCGCAGAGAACGCGCAGCTCGGAAAGCGGGCGCCAAAAGTGCGGGACTGCAGTGCCACCTGGCGGGAGAGCGAGGAGTCGCGGATTGGACCGGGTCCGCCTCCTATAAGGCTTCGTTGCATCCAACCCAAGCCTCTCAGGAGCTCCAGCCGCAGGTGTCCAGATTCCGCCTAGATGGGGCCGTTCATGCGATTCCCATGTCCAAACCGCCTTCTGGCCTCCTTAGCCCGGTAGAGTAGCCACCCAGTCACCCCTGTGCTGGAAGTCACCTGGACTTCTCCTGTCTTGCACCCCTTCCCCAACGTTGGTATTTTGGATTCCTTTCCCTCTTACTCGATTTTCTCCAGCTGTAGTAAAGCCACCTTAGTGTAAGTCATCATGACTTGACCGGTCTTACTGTTTCTCCTCTTTCCTTAAAAAGAGGGCAGAGTGGTATTTTCAAAAGTCTAATCTCTAGCAGAGCAAGGTGGCACACACCTGTAACCCCAGCACTCTGGAAGGCTGAGGCAGAAGGATCAAAAGTTCGAACCTCGGGCTGGGGATTTAGCTCAGTGGCACAGCGCCTGCCTGGCCAGTGCAAGATCGTGAGTGCAATTCCCGGTACCGAGGGAAAAAAAAAATTCGAACCTCATCTGGGCAATTAGGCAACCTGTCTTCAAAATAAATAAATAGCATGGCATGGTGGCACATGCCTATAATCCCAGCAGTGGGGAGGCTGAGGCATGAGGATCACTGTGAGTTCAAGGCCAGACTACATTACAAAGTGAGACCCCGTCTCAAAACACAAACAAATAAATGAATGGCTGGAGATGTAGCTCAATGGTAGAATACTTGCCTACAATGTGTGGAGCCCTGGGTTCAATCCCCTGTACCCAAAAAAGTCTAATCTTATAATTCTCCCCACAAAGGCACTGTCTTTTTTGTTTTTTGAGACAGCTATGTAGTTCAGGCTGGCCTAGACTCACTATGTGGCCCAAGCTGGCCGCAAACTCGCAGTAATCCTCCTGCCTCAGCCTCCTGAGTGCTGGAATTACAGGTATGTACCACCAAACTCTGCTGTCTCTGTAACTTTGCTGTCAAGTTTAAACCCTTCTGCCTTTCCTCTTCCATCTCTGCCTTATCTATCTATCCTTCCTCACCATCTACCCTTTCCTCTCATGGCCAGTGTCTACCTACTTTTTAATACCTGGAACACACTGTGCTCTTTCACTGGTACCTTTGCTGCATGGATCCCTACCGTCTAGACTACCGGAGAACTCCTGTTCATCCTGCAAAAGAGAAGGTGTTTAGTGTCCAGAGAGGTTGAAATCAGGGAGAGAAAAAAGCCCAGTGTCCAAAAAGCCCTGTGTCCTCATGTGTACTGTATTATGGATTCTCCTTTTCTCTCTGGAACTCAGCCTCAGAGGCAAAGGGTCACCTTGCTTATCTCTGGATCCCCAGCACCCAGCCCAGGGCAGTGCTCAATAGCGTGTGATGAACAGCTGGAATGAGGGCCTGGGGCTTATGCCTGAGAAGCAGGTTAGGGAGCAACAATCATTTCTGAGCAGAAAGGAGAAGAGAGGCACTGGGGGCAAAGGTCAAAGGAAGACCAGGGACTCTGGATCGCACAAAAGGAGAGGGCCAGGGAGAGGGCAAGGAGAAGCGAAAGGTGCCAGGAGAAAGAAGAGTAGAAGGGTAGGTGTGTGGGGGAGGGCACATGACAGTGGTGAAGAGGGTGGGGTGTAGGACTGGGGTCGCAAACCCTGAGTTCTGTCCTGCCTCTTGGCACAAGCATCATTCCTGTTCTCATTCAGGTGCTTTCTGCTTTTTGGAGTCTTTCTAGGTGTTTTGTATCCAGAGAAGTTGAAATCTGGGAGAGGAAGAAAGACAGGGCTAGACAGGAGATAGGGTAGTTTAAAGAATGTGGGTTGGGAAGCTGAGGCAGGAGGATCTCCTCGAGTTTGAAGCCACCCTGGGCTACATAGTGAGCTCAACGCCCAGCCTGCACTACAAAGTGAGACCCTGTATCAAACAAACAAAAAATGGGTCATTTCATATGCAAACTTTTTTCCCTTGTTTTATTTATTTATTTTGTTTGTATGTTTGTTTGAGATAGGGTCTTGATATGTGTGTAGTTCAGGCTGATCTTGAACTCACTATGTAGCCCAGGCTGGGCTTGAACTTGTGGTGATCCTCCTGCCTCAGCCTCCCTGATGGTTTTTTAATTGTTTTTAAGAGAGGGATCATAATATATACTCCAGGTTGGTTGTGATCTTACTGAGTAGCCGAGGCCATCCTCAAACTTGTGATTCTCCTTCTTCAGCCTCATGAGTAACTAGGACCACAGATGCTCCCTATTTTTTTGTGTGTGAGTGGTAGTGGGATTTGAACCCAGAGCCTTGTTCATGCTAGACATGTCCTTTACCATAATGTTACATTCCTAACACTTTAAAATTAAAAAAAAATTTTTTTTTTATTATTTTGTGGTGCTAGGGAAGGAACCCAGGGCCTCACCCATGCTAGGCAAGTGCTCTACCATTGAGACACATCCCCAACTCAAAACTTTCATTTTTGAGACAGGGCCTCACTAAGTTACTCAGACTGACCTCAAACTTGTATTCTCCTCCCACAGCCTTCTGAGTGCTGGAAACTAGCTTTGCAATTTTTTTTTTTTTTTAAGAACTAGCCATGATTTTATTTAAAAAAAAAAAAAAAAAGAGGCTGTGAAATGTGAAATGTGTTCTGACAAAGGCTTAAAAAATGTTATAGGAGTCCCAAGATGAAGCAGGACTAGAGAGAAAACAAAGTTACAGAAGAGATGTCGTGTTAGTCCTGGACTGTAGATACCCATTAACAGAAATACCTTTGCCGCAAGGACTTGCCTATTTGTTATGTAAGCAGCCAATACTGGAGACCCCTGCAGCGAACCCAATCTCCTGCCAGGTGTTACAGTGCATGGGGGGAGGGAGGGAGAGAGGGAGAAAATGATAGACAGAGAAAGAGAAAATGGAGGTACAGCAGGGATCTGGGATGACCAGTTGTTCATGAGGAACAAAAGGCTGCAAATAGTTTAACTTGTGTAAATACACGTCTTGTTATATATTTCTTTTCTCTTGTTATATTCTCTCTTTTTACTTTTTTTTTTTTAACCTAGGGAGCAGACCCAGGGCCTTGCACATATACTAAGCACACACTCTCACACCGAGCTATACCCCTAGTCATGACCTTGCTTATTCTCAGAAAACACTGAGCTTTAGAGATGCACCCATGCTCCGGGATTGTCCAAGCTGTCAGGACATGATAGTCCCTGGAATCAGTCACACCACATTTTACCTGCCAGCAATTCTGTTAGTGAGTATCCACGTCACCTCCAGTTCCCAACCACAACAAACACATGGCAATGAACATTCATACAAGGTTCCTTATGCAAGGCCAGGCGTGGTGGTGCACGCCTGTAATCCCAGCACTCAGGAGGCTGAGGCAGGAGGATCGTTGTGAGTTCAAGACCAGCCTGGACTACAAAGGGAGCACAAGGCCAGCCTGAACTGCATAGGGAGACCCTGTCTCAAAAAAAAAAAAAAAAAAAAGAAAGAAAAGAAAAGGTTCCTTATGGCAGGGCTGGGATGTAGCTCAGTGGTAACAGTGCTTTGCTAGGGTGTACAAGGCCCTGAGTTCAATCCTCAGTACCATTTAAAAAAAAAGATTCCTTATGGGCTCCTGTGGGAACTTCTTTGGAAGACGTGTCCGGGTCCATATCTACGACGGTGACTCCGTCTATATTTATAACTATCTGCAGAAGCAGAATTGCTGAGTCATAGGGTGTTTTTATACCTAATTTGACTGAGAGCAGGCTGTCCCATCTCTGCTTCCGCCTGCGGTGCAGGAGGGTGCTGGCACCCTGTGTCCTCTGGCGGCATCACCTGTCACCTGAGGCCACACAGTTAAGCACATGACTCTCGGCCCAAACTGCCCGAGCTGAGCCCCAGCTCTGTGACTTACAAACTCTGTGCCCTTTGGAAACTTATCTAAGCTCTTTGCGCCTTATTCATCTCATCTGTAAAATGAGAAGGGTGATTATAACAGTGTCTACATGTTAGAGTTTAATGAAGGTGAATAATATAATATTCATATAGTGCCTAGGACAGATTGAATTGGCCAAGCCTGGTGACACATGCCTATAATCCCAGTGCTTGGGATGCTGAGACAGGAGGATCAATGTGAGTTCGAGGCCAGCCTGGGCTACAAAGTAAGTTCAAGGTCAGCCTGGACTACATAGTGAGGCTCTATCTCAAAAAACAAAAAATAAATAAATAAAATAGATTGAATTGTATATGATTTTTTTTTCAACAGCTTTATTGAGGTATAGTTGACATGTAAGAACCCTCACATATTAAAAGTATACAATTTGGTAAGATTGATATAGGCATGCACCTGCAAACCATTCCCACAATCAGGATAATGAATATATATATCTATCACGCCCAAAGTCTCCTACTCTGTAATCACTTTCTCCCTGAGGCCTCCTTTTTTTTTGTTTGTTTTTTTTTTCCAGTACCGGGAATCTTGCGCTTGCCAGGCAGGCGCTGTGCCACTGAGCTAAATCCCCAGCCCTTCCCTGAGGCCTTCTTGTACTTGCCAAAGAAGCACTGATCTACTGACTGACATTATGGATTAGTTTGTATCAAAAAAAAATTTTTTTTGGTACTGAAATTGAACTCAGAGAGCTCTGAGATATATCCCCAGCCCTTTTTTTTTTTCTTAATTTTTGAGACAAGGTCTTGCGAAATTGTCCAGGCTGGCCTTAAATCTGCAGTCCTCCTGCCTCAGCCTCCTCAGTAGCTGGGATTATAGGTGGGAGTCACTATTCCTGGTACATTTTCTAAATTTAGGTAAAGGGAATCAGACAGCGTGTAATCTTTTTGTCAGACTTCTTTTAATTACCATAATGATTCTGCAACTTATTTATGTTGTTGGATGTATCAAGAATTCATTTTTGTTTTCTTTTTTTTTTTTGAAACAGGGTTTTGCTGTGCATTTCAGGCTGGTCTTAAAAATCTATGTAGCCTAGGGTAGCCTTGCACTTGAGGAGATCCTTCTGCCTCTGTCTCCCAAGTGCTGGAACTAGAGGCATATGCCATCATGCCTGGCTAATAGTTCATTCTTTTTTATTGCTGAGTAATATTCCATCCTATGAACATGCCCTAGTGTATCTGTTCACCTGTTGATGGACATATGAGTTGTTTCCAGTTTGGGTTTATTACAAATAAAACTGCTAGGAATACTACTATGCAAGTTTTTGTCAGACATGTGCTTTCACTTGCTTAGAAAATATCTATGAGTAGACAAGCTGGATTATACAATAGATGTATGTATAACTTTTTATGAATTTGCCAAACTTCCAAA